GTCAGATGATTCGGCAGGAGCCTTGCTGAAAGCTTTTGTCTCCTGGTCTGAATCTTTTGAAGGGTCAGAGATCAGTCTTTAAAACCTTTGCATCTCATGGAAGATCTTCGAGACCTCAGAAATGGGCTTGTTGAGTCCTGGAAGTGTATCTATCTCTTGTGTCTTGTTCGTGACATGCTTCCTGCTATAGAAATAGCTCAAAGGACTGTACATATTTACAAGAATCTTTATATTCGTAACAAAAGGGAATTGAATTGGTTTCTACTTTTTTATTGTAAACTGTGTGTTTTTCAACACTAGCTTTTTGTTTTACCGGTGGTTGTGGACAGCCATCTTCAGACACTGGAGGGGCCTCAGCTTAGTCCTCCTCGCTCCCATGAAGAACTATTGTAACATTAACTCGCAATCGAAGCTTGTTAGCATAAATGAGGTTTTAGGTCTCTAAAAGTACAGGATTTTTCTGCATTACCTTTTTATTATGGACAAGGGAGGGAACCAGAGGGCCAGTTCAAAGCTCCACCTGGAACGTGTTGAACTTTGTTGTTGAACGATAACCAAATAAAACAAATAACTCTCCTGACTGGCATGGTGAAATGACCGCTTCCTTCTCCGCAGTGACACTGCCCCTCGTCCGCTGCCCCAGCGCCAGAGGCTGTGTAATCTATAGGCGTCAGCGCTTACCAAAGAGCTCACCCGACGGTAGTTAGCATTGAGTAGTTGTAATTCCCTGACCAAGTAGCATTAAGTGGCTTCACAAACACAAAGCATGTTCATAGGCACTCAGAACAAGGTGGAATTGACCACGTAGTTCACTAGAGCAGCAGTCGGCTGCGGACACCTACAGCTGAATCCTGCCCTCGCCCACTGAACTCCTGACAGGGGTAGAGTTCAGAACCGTGTGAGTATCTGGGACAACAACCCTGCCCTCCTCCATAACCCACACACCTTGAGCTGGAACAAACCATCTTACTGGACCATAGTGTGATCTAAAGACAGGTTTGGGATTTATCCCAGCAGTGGTAGCAAAGCGGACGGAGACAGCTCCTCATCCCACCGCTGTGATACGCTGGTGCTTTAAGGCCTAAGAGCTGCAACTTCAAAACCATTCACAAATCCAGTCAGACTGAGTACAACCTGCAGTTACTGTACATCTGAACTTACACCTGCTGGGAAAAACTTGCTAGATCAGACTTAAATGTAAATACATCTATTTTTAACTGAACCAGTTTTTACAGGGTCTCAAGTATTCTTTCACAGGAAGAGGTTTTTAATATTCACACTGCTGCCTCCAGTAACTTCATTTGTCCTCCTACCATTCGTGGCTTCACCCCTTGCCCTAGGGCCAGGCTGTTGCAGGGCCTGGGGGTGGGTTACTAACACCACCTCTTACATTCTGGTCTACATGACATCCTTCATAACAACGCTCTACATAAACCCCAAGCTGCTTGAGTTATCTATTGTGCCTACTATCTGATGTATACGATGAAATGCTAACTTGTTCAATGTTCCTTTATTTTACTGTGCACAAAGAATACTTATTTAAAGCTCATTGTTGCAGTCCTATGATGCATGATCCGAATTGTAACACAACTAAAATAATCCAGAAACTGGTGGAGTAAAACAAAATCATTTATTGAGCCTTTTGATTACCAAGAACCCTGCACAAATCCCTGTCAGCCTGACCACTGCACCTCAGGGGGCCGGGGCGGGCAGGGAGCTCCTGGTGACTCCAGAGTCCCCCAAAGCAATTCAAGCCTTTGCATCTACCTTAAAACTGTGCTCTCCTAGCAACAGCCAGGAATAACCTCAACATCACACACTGCGGGCTGAGGGTGGGCAATGGAAGCATCCAACTCCTGATCCCACTTTTGCCTTTGGAGGGAATCAGTTCAGTGAGGACACACAATGTGATTAACCTGATCCATTCACCTCTCATGCAGAGAACAACCCAGCAAATAAATAAGTAAAGACATCCCCCCCCCATCCCTCCCAAACCAACCCCAGTGAAAACCAGATCCCTCCCAGCCATGGGCCAAGGGGGCTCTGCCATACCTGGAGGAGGGGGGTGGCTCCTGGAAAGCTCAGTTGAGGCCTCAGGGGTCGGCCTGTGGGCAGCTGCTCCCCCTCATCCCAACAAGCAGGGAATGGTGGTGTGGATCACGAGGCCTCGGGTGCTGTGTGGGGCCCAGCCCCTCACCGTGGTTCCTGGGCGCAGCCGTTGGGCTGCCAGAGCATGGGCTGAGTGCTCAGCAGTGAGCCAGGCTCCAGGCTGCACAGTGAATAAACACCAAACGCTGGCTATAAAGTAACTGGTTGTGTCCATGCTCCACCATGCCAGGGCTGAGGAAAAGCTTGGAGTGAGTCCTGCATATGTGACTGGGAACAAACCCACAGAGCTCAGCAAGAACTAATGAGGCCGAGTCCATAAATCCCGCTCCATCTCGCATGCTGCCCCTTCCAGGCTGGGCTTCGTTTCTCAAAGTTCCAGCTTCTTCAGTCTTTGACACATGGAACACCTGGTTTGCAACTAAACCAAACCACCACAGCCAAAGAAACCAGCCAGCCTCATTAGGCTGCCTCGGAGCTCCTCTTTTCTCCTAGTGAAAAGACTAATTCTAGCTCATTCCAGTAGGAAACCTGTGGTGCCGTTTCCCTGCTGGCACTAAAAGCCTCCAGGACTCACCCCACCACCCGTGTGCAATGCACCCTCCATCCACACTGCTTTGAACACAGCTGACAGATTCCTTCCAACGCCTGCCTCTCCCCTGCTGACCCTCATCCCACCCACACTGCTGACCCTCGCTCCCACAGCATTTAACCTGTGCTTGGCCCCATGTGGGGCTCTGGGCCCACAATGTCTGCCTAAGCACACCCAGCCTTGGCTGTGGCAGCAGGCACGAGGCCTCACTTGCTGCCAGTGTCATGGTCAGCTCGGTGACAGCTCAGTGACAGCCCAGCACCACTCCTACCATGCCAACAGCAATGCCGCCCACCATGCTCAGCCACAAGACACAGGGCCCCAGCACACCGCTGATGATGGCACCATGGAAGGAGAGGCCAGTATTTAACAACAGCATCACCAGGCAGGGAATGGCAGGGGAGGGCTGTGCTCACACAGCATCCGCCTCTGCATTCACCCCTTGCGGTGTTCCCAGCTCCCATTCCAGCACAAGGCGCTCCCACCATTACATCCGTTCACTGGAGCTGTTCAAACCTGCTCTCCCTGATGCACCTTCCTCTAGTGCCCTGACAACCAGCTCAAGCACAAAGGAACCTCAGTGCCTCCTGCCCATGGCAAGGCCCAGAGGCCTCTCTGCTGGCAAATGACAGCCCTGACCAGGCACCCCCAGCCTCACCAGTGCAAATGAACACTACAGCAGCACCAGAGCCCACAGCCAGCATCTGATCTACACCTGGCAATAAGAGACCTGCTTGAAGAGTGGATGGAACAAAGAGAAGCTGCCAGGAGGCTGAAGGCCAACTGATGGCTGAAGCTTTGCTCTTCCTGTCAGCTTTACCTCCCCCTTCTCCTGTACTGATTAACTGCAAACTGACAAAGTGCTTTAAGCTGCATCTATGAATGAGAAGCTTGCACAATCCACCACGGCACAGAACTGCAAACACAGGTCCTGAACAAACAACAGCTCATGGAAGCTGGGATAATAACCAAGCAAGTCACCCACTTTTCTTGGAAATGTTTTATTTGTTTGTATTGTAAGAGGCTGAAAACAGAAGCGATTCCGTGTTCCAGAACACCAACACTATCCACAGCACAGAAGGGAGAGTGTTCAGAGAAAACCACTGCACTAAGACCCAGCTCTACTCGGCTACTGGAGCTATTGCAGCAGGGTGGCAAAGCACCCCTGCCCCATGGCTGGTCCTGCGGAAGGCTGGCGGCTGCAGCCTCCTGACTGATCTGTGCAAGGTGCTCTGGGCTGGTCAGGGTTGGCACAGTCACTGGCACCCTCAGGCACCAAAACCAAAGAGAGGGAAGGACGCGGCAGGTCGCCGCCCCGAGGCACACCGGTGTGCAGTTCTGCATTGGTGTTGCATGTGTTTTGGGATAAACCAGGCTGTCGGTACCCAGTACAGGCAGCCCGGTGTCACTATCATCATTTAGAAAACAGAGACAGGATTAAAAGCTGCAGGGATCCCCACAGCCCTGGCTGTGGAAGCAGCAGGGGGTTTATACCTGTGGTCGTGCTGCAACCTGGAGCAGGGGCCCTGCTTCCCCTGGGCACAGACGGGCACGGTGCTGCTGGACCCAGCACTGCAACTGGGCACAGGTGACCTGCAGTCACCTTCAGGCCCTTCCTGAAGAACTAATCCCTAAACTGATTTCCTCACAGCTTAAGGAAGTCCTCACTAGCAACAGCAAGGGAAACTGGTTTCCAAAAGCAGATTACTGCAATTACATACACGTTGATGACTTACAGAAAAATCCAGCCATTAAAAACAATTGTCTTTACCAGAAATTCCACAGGGGAAAAGCTGTATTTCAGTTCTCATGAAGAGAAAAACTACAGAGCTCAGAAACAGTGCTCCCCGGTCTACCATGCAGTAAAACTGAGCGTGTAGGTGATTGTGTCACTGATTGTGCCTAGAAAAGGCTGCTACAAAAGGACCATCAATATTCCCACTTACTTCAGCCATGCAAGTTCAGAACTTGCTATGGAATGATTGCATGTTTGATGAGCTATGGCAGCAGCAATGTCTTGCTTTTGTTGAGTGCTGAGCTCGAATGAGATTCCACAAGAATCCCGATCTCCAGGCTTTGGGCTGCCTTGTTGGTTACAGTTTGCTACAGTCTGCCCGGCTCCTAAAGGTCTTTGATCTGTTGCTGCCCTCGCTTTTCAGCCTAATTTAACTGGTGGTTTTAAACTGAGCTGCCAATGGGCACTGACACCCTTTGCCATCTGCCTGGTTGCCATGAAGCTGCCATCTCTGAGAACTTCCAAGGTACCACTGAGAAAACACAGGAGAACTTGGAAGTCTCAGAAACCAGATGAAATCAGAGTTCATTTGCTACAGCACAGAGCAGGAGTACATTTGGTTAAGAGAGGAATTGTTTTTCTGAGACTGCACTGGCCCAGAGCAATTGGTCACAAGCTACAGCGATGCTCATATTGGCTTGTACAGCAAAGTGGTGACATATTTCTTCTTGTAACGATGCGTAGCACTAAGCACCATCACTCCATCCTACAGGAGATGGAAAACAAGTGAGCACATCACACGGGTACCTGAAAACTGCACCTCCAAAGAGCACGGCCTGGCCTCTCACCTTGATAGAAAGTGCGTAGAGGTGGTTCAACATGACGTGGTTGGGTTCAGGGAGCAGAGCAGGGTCACACTGGGAAAGGGGGAAATGAGTGTGAAAATAACAGAACTCACTCATCACAGCTGATGGGTGCCAAACACTGTCTGTAGCTAGCCATACCCTCACATACACCACCCTGCTCCTTACGCTGAGTCCATCAGCAAATGCAAAGTGCCAGAACAACCCAAGACCCCTCTCCAGGGTGAAATCCTCTGCACCTCACTGCCACCGTGCAACAGACCTCAATTATTCCTTATGTGCTTCTGACACTTTAACAGTGCTGCAGTGGGAAGATAAAGGTTTCTGGGAGTAAAACAGCAATTGAGTTGTCCTCTCAGTTTTGAGGAGAGTCAAGTAGGTTTACTTCAGATGAATCCACCTGGACATACATAGTCCAGAATTCACCAATGTGGCAACTGTTCTAAGGGTTTTCCTAAGCTGCCCCCTGTCTGCACCCAGGCTTTTTCCCCATGTGTTCACACCCTCAAGGCCATTACTCATCAAACAAATGTACTCACAGAAATGCCTGTGTCCTTATTCAGGATGACCTGCAGCAGGTGGGGGGGAAGAATAGGTGGTGATTTAAAGCGCTCCTCTGCCTTACAAACATAGGGCTCCTGGTGGTATGGTCCTGGGGGTGAACTTGACAACTCTGCCAAAGAGATGTTACATATTTACCCTTAAATAGTCTGTCAGAGTACCTGCACTTTATAGGTATTTTTTACCATATTCAAATTGATTTTCACATCCAGGAACACGCAGACAGAGGAAATCGATGGCACGTACATACAAGAACTACAGCCCTGATGCAGTCACTGCCCAAGAGGCAACTTCAGATGTCCAAAGTCTGTCTGACTTGAAACTAGCTGAGAAGGTTTGGGAGGCTGAGTTTGGAGAGATCTACTGCACTCCAGAAGTGCAGTCACCTCTGCCCAGCACTTCTCCTTACTATTAGTGCTGCTGTACAATGTTCCCTCCAAGGAAAAGTACCAGAAACATGGTACAAACCTGTAAAAGGCAAGCAGTATTCCCATGCAGGGACAGAGTAACAGAAAGAGATCTTCAGAGTCTGTATCAGTATAAAGAAAGGCTGTTACACCACACTGCAGGGAAGCATCTACTAGAATCTCCTCCTGGCTCCCTGCAGTGTCCAAGTCCTACAAATCACATTTTTTCCTCCAAAAAGCCTTTGTCCAGGGCAAAGTTGTATAGGGCAAAAATAAACCAAATGCACCCTCTGACAGAAGGATGGGGCTTCTGAAGGAGCATCTAAGGTACTACTTCCATCATGTCTCCATCCCTGCAAAGGTCTACAAAGAGCAGGCAGCAAAGCTGATTTCAGAGATGACTCAAGCTAATTCTCTCTCTTCTGCTACACTGAATATGAAACTTCAGACAAAAATAGCATTTTTAAATTGTTTTAGGATATACATAATTTATACTAAACTGTGAGGCTACGATATACTCCTGACCCTCTGTTAGCACTGCAAAGATGCACCTAATGCCTACCTCTTAATGTGCAACTTCTGACCTTCCCAGTCCACCTCCTTAGCAGAGGAAGATGGAATTAGGAGCAGTGCAGACTGTCCACATTGGTTTGATGCTGTAAGGTAGAGACTGATCCACTGATTTCACATCACACAGGCAAACAAACAGCTATTAAACACCCATGACTCCCTCCTAACTGTATCTACATTACAGTGACCTGTGCTGCTCTGTTAGAGGCTTTTTCTTCTGTGCATCCCATATCTTCCTTTGTGCATCTGTGATTCCTGCACATGCCCACAGGGCCTGACAAATGTGGAGGTTAATCTATACTGCACCTTTAACTCCAGATAAATAGGAAGATGACATTTTTAACATCTCAAACAAGTGTGATAGAGAATTACCAGGAAGCTCATACCAGACATGTCTGAACATTTCTGGGAGTCCACCATCAAAGCGTCGAATACTTCAAAGTCAGTTTTCTTCACCTGTATGACGTTGTTGATGGTACCCAGCTGGCTGGTTACTACTGGCTGGGAAGAGGCAAGATACAAAAGTCAGGATAAAAAGGCTTCTGGGACTATTAGATTCCCAAAACTACACAATCAGCATTACCAAGAATGAGATCTATTGCTTTTAAAACGTGCCAGTACCAGATACAAAAACAGCTCAGCATTGCTCAGTTAATGTGAGGTTAAGAGAAAAGGCACATTTAGGACTGGGGACTGCATGTCAGTTGAACCTGGCAGGTCCACAGCACTTGATAAATTCTTGGGCTATAGATAAGGCTAGGATGAGGTTTGGGCTAAAGTTAAACAGTGGCAACACAAGGAGGCAAGCTTTACCTCTAGCTTCTACAGGGCTTTCAGAGCATGGCAGAGTAGTTGGTATTGCTGGTTTATGGCCAAAGCTAAGACAGAGGGTTCAAAGAGCTAAACTTACTACAAGGTAAATCCTGCAAGGTCTGCCAAGACAGCAAGAAGACTAGAGCCATGAGCTGTGAATGGTTAGTTCAGAAGCAGTGAGGGACTGATGGGCAGGCAAGGGTTAAAGCTCATTCTATAGCAGAAGAGGAAGAAAAGACCTGGTAGATTTTGGCACAATTACTGAACTATGAAAAGATCTAGAGCAGCAATAGCAACATTCTGGCACAGAGAGCAGGTACAGCATAGAGAGACTTGGGCTGTCAGCAATGCTACAGTGCATTAAAAGACAGTTTGGCATTAGGCTAGAAAAGCTCACCATCTCTTATAAACCAGCCCCCAAGAGATCTTGTCACTCGTTTGTTACAACATCTCCTGTCCTTTGAGGCTGTCAGTCTGATGACCTCACCTAGGCCAGCATCAGAAATCTCTCTCTCACCAACTTCAACAGTCAGTTCCTGTTGTTAACAAAACCCTCTCTCTGAAGTGGCCAGCTATTAGCAGAGAATCCATCAGTGTCTCATGTTCAGGTCCCTTTCTGAATAAATACAGGGAACCAAAGAAGACGTTACCTCCGAAGGATCATGCGTCCACTGCCCATCCACAAAGAACTTGTATTGGTGCTCTCCTTCTGGCAGATCCAGGATTGCCACAAAGTTGTTGTGACTGGAATTTAAGACAAACAATCAGCCCTGAAATGCTCCGAGAAGCATACTGATTACAAACTGTGCCAAACACTAACTGACAATACAAGCCTCCTCAGCGTACAAAGACTTACGAGAATCCCTGATGCAATCTGAAGGTAAAGAGTCGTATTAAGGTTAAAGTTAATGAAAATTTCCTCTATGACAGTAAGTCCCTACACATTCAGAATTCGTATCTGCATTCCTGACATCAATTAATTGAGCTTTTGTAAAGTCATCCTCACATCTTCATGTCACTTGTCAGTACGTGAGACCTCATTTTATGTGTGAGACTCCTGTTGATAGAACAACATCAGCTTACTCAGATTTCCTTGCCTTTCAGTATCTGCCATCACCAACTACATTTCAGAACTGCCTGTGAGGGCATATCAAGAATTACTTATCAGCTAAGTAAACAATGAGTAGAAGATGAAAGCACCTCAATACTTCTGAGTCACTTGGGAGCTGAATAGCTGCTGCTTGGTGATGTTGATACTCTGGTGCTGTGAACTTCCTGATTCAACTGAAGTCTTTACCAGCGTCTCAAAACAGCACAGAAACAGCTCATGCTTTCTGAACAATTCAAACAGGCTACACAATGCCAGCATCTCCCTTTACTTCTTCTCAGGTGAGGGTGCAAGCACACCACCATAGAACTGGATTTGAAATTTCAGTCTGAAATAATGAACTCTTCTACTTGAGCATATTTGATTCAGTAACATGATTTTATCCAGCCTCTAAGGAGGTCCAGATATCTCCTTTCCCAGAACACCTAATCTGACAAGAGACAAATATTTTGGGGTTTTTGGCCTTCTTCCAGATTCATTTCACTATTTCCTGCCTCCCAGGCTTCCTACTTAGAGCATGACAGTAATAGTGATGTTCCACAGGCCTGTTTTCCAGCTCCTCTCTTGGTAATTTCTCTCCCATTCTTCATACACAGAACAGTCCTCCCACACCATTCCATTAGGCCACTATGCTCTCCCTCGAGTTTCTCAGGAAATTAAGACCCTTCTGCAGCAAGGACAATGCAGGTAGCCACTCACTGAGATGAGAAATGCCAGAAACTGGCAGCAGACCAATCCTTCATGGATATGTCACCTTTGATGGACAAGAGGGCTCAGATCAACAGTTAAACTCAGCCTCTCTGCCATCTATTAAGTTTCAAATTTTGGGGAAAAACCCCAATATTGGTTTAAATGAACTACTCAAGTACAGAACTAAGGAGAGCTTCAGCTCTCTGGCAGGAAAAAGCAGTTGGTGCCTTAACACAGATTTATTCTCTCGTTCATGTAATTTACCAGCAGGGGTCCCAGGCTCAGAGTTTTCCTGAGCGGCATTTGGCCCTCTTCAGCTGGGCAAAAGCAGCCAAATATGGCAAAAAAGTACATGTGCCATCAGAGACACTATGCTTAAATCCAACTTTTGCCTCCTATGCCTGAACTCTGAGCCCAAGCAGCAGACTGCACAATGAGGATTGTTTCAGGTGATTCATGCACAGTGCCCAGTGAACACACCACCCCTTCAAAAGTGACACAACTCAACTTTCATCCTGTGCCATCCAAAAATCAGATTCTCATCAAGGGCTTCAGGAGAGAAGTGGTAAATCCCAGCACAATACCGATCTACAGGAGACCACCTTTCTCCCTTCACTAAGCATTCCCATTCCTTGTGTAATATCCCTAATAAAGCAGCAGCAGTTTATTACCTCCTTGTCAGAGGGATTTTACTCCAGTTGTTGAAGGACCCAGATAAATAGACTTCTTTCCCTCCTCCAGTCCAACGAAAGACTGTCGGTCGAGCTTGTGTGGGCGTTTTATCATTCATTTCCAGATCCTGTTGCCAAGCTAAGAATTCTTCTTTCTCCAATGGAGCCTAAAAGCACAATGGTCTTCATCAAAAGGAATTCTTTCCTGGCAGACATAGACAATCTCTCAGGTACAAGTCTACAGGCATTTTTTGGCAGATGGAATTAGAAACTGTGCATTTGTAGATGCTGTTCACAAGTTCATTTGCACGTTAAAGCCTTCAAATTTGCAGAAGCGGAAGGCAAAATAATCTCCTTCCCTCCAGCTAAATTAGGTTAAAAAGAAATTACTCAAGCTCACAAAAGTTTTCAAAACACACAGATACAAGAACAGGGAGAAAAATAATGAAGAAGAAATACCCTCAAGAAGCATTTAGATTATACAAATATGGTAGATATAAAATTTGTAGTTGGCAGATGATGAGATGTCTACAGGAAACACCTCTGTCCAACAGTCAGAATCTAAGTGTAATTTTCTGTTAGATATAATTATGAAACATGATACACAGCAAGACATCTAATGCTAGTAAAAAAAACCCCAGTTAACAGAGCTTTTAATATGGAAAATAAGAGACAGGAAAAATATCACTGGTAACTGCAAGAGCGTTAAGGATCCAAAGGAAGCTGGAACACTGTGCTTTGAAGCAGCTACACTTTAGGTTTTCTACAAACAATTCTTGCTGGAACCCATAACATTACACTCATTATATCTGCCTGCACATCACTGCACCACCTCTCTTTGGCTGGGATGCAAGGGAGATAGCTTTGTTTGTAAATTCAATGCCAGAACTACTGAGGGTTGCATATGGCACCACAGCATGGTAATGTTAGAAGACAAGAACCAACCAGCAATACCTTCATTTCCTCTGAATGGAACAAGTCTGCATCTTCAGGACTATCCATTAAGATTTTGGGTCTATCACCCTCTTTTGTACTGATGGCTCCTCCTGAGCTGTCCCCTCGGGATGCCTTATGCCCATGTCGCTCCAGTCCAGCTCGCTCACTGCTTGTGTTCCCCATTGTGAAAGACCTAAAAAAGCAGGAAAAGCCGGATTAGCACACATGCTTTCCAAGCTAGAACACCTGTGTGCAGGAAAGCAGGCTCATCAGCACACCTGGGCTCTGTTTCTGAACTGAAGAGTCTAAGAAGGTTGATTAACCCCAAATGCTGTGCTAGGTCAATGTCCTAGCAGCTCTGCAAGACTCAGCCACTCTAAAAGCTGTGTATGTATTCTGTCTTCCCAAGCAACGTGGCCTTCTGGATACCCATGCACATAGCACTCTACCACATCAGCTGAAACATCAGTAGAACTTTTTTGCCAGAATGCAGCAAAACCAACCCACTAGAAATGTGATTTCAGTAGAAAACAGTTATCTGAGGTTGGCAACCTGCTACGGATCCCTACAGCCTGCAGCTCTGCAGCACACACAGCACAGTCCTGCTGATGCTCCACTGGAGGCTTCCTCCAGGCTCCCCTTTATTCCTGGAAGGGCAAGGGCCAATGCTTCTTCCCACCCCATAGCCTGTGAGGCCACAGCCACTCGCAGAGGGGTGAGACTGGCTGTGCATGCCGTGTCTTGTATGAAAGACAACTTACAGGTGAAGAGCAGCAACTCAGAGGGGCTGTGGGAATCACACCGACAGAACCACTTCAGAGCACCCAGTAATCATAGAATCATAGAATAGTTTGGGTTGGAAAGGACCTTAAGATCATCCAGTTCCAACCCCCTGCCATGGGCAGGGACACCTCACACTAAACCATGGCACCCAAGGCCTCATCCAACCTGGCCTTGAACACTGCCAGGGATGGAGCATTCACAACCTCCCTGGGCAACCCATTCCAGTGCCTCACCACCCTAACAGGAAAGAATTTCCTCCTTATATCCAATCTAAACTTCCCCTGTTTCAGTTTTAACCCGTTATCCCTTGTCCTGTCACTACAGTAAGGTTCAAGTCAACATCTGGGATACTGTCCTGTTTACAGACACTGCCCAGCTTCCAAGTGTACAGCTCCCAGCACGGTCACAACCCAAACCCAGTCTCAGCGGGCATGGCCTGTGTAAATACACAACTAACTCAGCACTTTAACCGGCACTATGAAAACAAGCCAATACCAGCTGGCTGCGCGAAACTGCACCAACTTGGAGCCCTCGGTACCTCAAGGCCCCTATGAGAGGAACTCCGGGGAGGCCCGAGTGAGTTCTCAGCACGCACCACGGGCTCAGTGCCCCGCCGAAGGCCCTGCAGCCCGCACGGAGCACTCGCAGCCGAGCGGCTCCGGAGCAGCACCCCCGCAGCTGGGCCCCGCCTTCCCCCCGGCCCCGCAGCGCCCCGGCCCCCGTACCCACCGCCCGCCTCCGGCCCGCACCGCCAACCTGCTTCTGCTTCCGCTTCCGCCGGCCCGCTCCGGACTGCGCCCCGGGCACAACCTGAGCCCGGCCCGAAGGTTCCGGTGCGGCAGCGGGACCCTGCGCGGAGCCTCGGGGCGAGGGCAGCGGGGGGGATGTGGGCTCTTTACCTGCCTTTTCTCCAATTCACCGCCGCAACGAGGGTTTGGATCTGCGGAATGAGGGAGCACCGGGACACTGGAGCTAGGAAACAAACGCATTTCCCATACATTCCCTCTTTGGAAAGGGCAGCGAGAGCCAGCTCACAGCCGCTGACCCTTAGGTCAGCCCTTTCAGGCTCTGAAACCACACACGCGGCTCTCCTGCCGTTGAAGCACAGTTGGAAATCCAAGACCGTAATTGGTAAATGCTTCCCAAATTAACTTACACTCATGTATTACTCCAACATAATTGCCTAAGCATTTCCAATTACACTCTTGTTTTGCCCTTTGCTCTTCAGCTGTTGCTGTCTTTCCCCCTACTTTTCTAACGGGCACAAAGCTGTGAGGACTGCAGGTTCCTGGTCAGCAGTTCTTTTCGCAAGGAAGTTGTTTTTATGTTGAAGCTGCCAACAGACAGAAGGATTCCTACTGGATCGAAGTGTATCCTTCTGGCATGGTGTTATGTTGTGGGAACAATTCTGCTGGAATAGACAGATTCACTGGGCCTGGTTCCCACACTGTGTTTTGAGGAGCAGTTGCTCCAAGTTGTCTTGCATGGAAGGATGCCTCGGCACGGGACAGCCTGACACAGGGGAATGTGTGTGGGCTGCTCTGCACCAGCCCCTCCACAGGTCACCCTGCTATAAAATGCAGCTGCTGGTCTGATCTTTCACACAGCTTAGCACTTCCAAAGCCTTTGTCTCCAAACCTAATTGTTTTGTTCTCCCCAGTCCTTTTTTGGTCACTAATAATGCACACGCCTCTGCAGGGTGAGTTTGAGATCCACACAACCATCTTATCCATCACTTGCCCAGTAGGTCCCCTGTGATGATCTGCACAAGGGCCAGCCAGGCTCATTTCAAGCAATGGCATCTTCGCTTTGGGGACCACACTCATTTCTTTGCAATGGTTTTTGTTACTTCCAGTAACCACAGAAAGGTAATAAACTGCAGGGTAAGGACTGCTAGTAGCTCACTGGGCTGTGGTGACTAGACTATGGCAGCTCCAAGCATTACTGAATTTAAAGTTCTGGTGTTAAAATGTGATGGTCTTTCCCTACACAGTGATGAACCATCCATGCCAAAACCTTTGGGAGTTGTTGACCCATGGACAGGCAGAGGCAATGGACATGGGCATCTCAGCCTCTTGGTGGTTGGGCTTTGCTGTTACTGGCTTCTCTCTCTTTTCCCCATGACTGCTTCCCCTTCACCCCCAATTCTGGTCTTCCCTCATGGTCAATAGTGATAGGGGGGTGGTAGCAACAGTCCTAGAGCAATCAGCCTGAAACTCTTTGGGAGGCACCTGGTCCCAGCGGATTAGGAGGGCTGGATGACATTTACACCATGAACAATGAGCTTTGCATAGCGGGTTTACCACTGCTGCTTACTAAATCACCACCCTGCCTCCTCACAGGCACTGCAGGATTGTTTTCTGCCATCAGTTTGTGTGGGAGCCCAACTCCCTTACAGCTGTTAATGCAGGAGATGTGGGAAGTGAAAGATGAGCTAGACATGCCACAAGGGCCTGGCAGAGCTCATCCACCTACTGATTTTCTGCAATCCTGAAGTTTAGCTCCTCCCTTTGACAGCATCTCTGACTTTTTGCTTCCTTCCATTCTCTGCAACCTTCCCCTCTTCCACTCCATCCAGCACCAGCCTCCACATTCCAAAGGAAGACTGCAAAATACCTTTCTGCTCCTGCCCCTTCACATACCTGTCTTAACCTTCTTTTTCCTACTGCCAGATGAGGGGAGGTAGTTCACTTCTTCCATCAAGACTTCCAGAAATGATACAAATGGGGTTCCTGGTTCTTGGCTTATTTCCCTAGTGAGAATGTCAGAGGTGTCACTTGCCATTGAAACAACATGTCACAACAACTCTCTCCTTTTCTAACGTGCTGTATCTCTCCGACAGGAAACACAGCAACAGGCCACTTAGGCTCAGCCCTGGCTAAACACTCCAGACTTTGGTACAGAATAATTTATTTCCTAGCTGCTTAGCTGTGTACATTCCCTTACAATTTTGGGAGATGCCCAAGAATCATGACTGTGAGCATTTTAATTGAAGAGGAAAAGAATTAGATAGAAATCTATATATTAATTCTGACATTAGTTGTCTGCATCACTTCATCACTTTGGCTTTTAGCTGTTAGCTTTCCATCAGCCAAAGGAAGGTGATATTAGGTTGGGTGAATACTGCAAAATCTTTGAAGTGCAAATTCAGGACCGCAGATTGTTTTGTGTTCACCACCCACACTGCCACTGAACAAATACTCACCTGAAGTAAACATTGAATTCAGACATCACAAAACCAAACAGGAAATTTTGGCATTAGCAATGACACCAAAAATGGGAGCGCCCCAGGATTTATGGTTGTCTGCTCAGGAAAAAGAAATCATGTGGTGAATCACAACAGTTTGAATTGCACGTGGCAGGCTTGAGGGGAAAAGGGTCAGGTGGAAAATGTAACTGAAGAATTTTGAACAAGAATGTCCTGTGAAAACAAAGAGCACAATCTACTTTCAGACTGTCCACAGCCCATAAACCAAGGTAAAAGTAATTGATTAAATGCTTTATCAGGTGTCATGAGTATGCCACGTCATAGGGCAATGTGAGGTTTTAAAAGGAGATGCTTGTAGAAGAGCCACATGCTCTCTGTTATTTACCATGTCACTGTCCACAAGCAAAGGTTAGCTCTTTTCTCCTTTACTCACATCTACCTTCCTTGATAAATACAAACTAGACCTGGCCTGACTATACAACTCACACAGAACATCCTCTTCAGAAATTAATTTTAAGGCATTTTCGTTCTTGTCTTATAAGGTCATGAGGATCAGCCGATGTCAGGGTTCTGACCACCATGACAGAGCACTTTTGGTGTTGTACAGGCTGGGAGTCAAGTGAAGTGACATCTTTACTAGTGAGTTATTCTACCCCCTTGGAGATATCACTTACCGTCTTCTCTTCCCAGATGGCTCTTTTTTAAAGACAGTAAGGTCAAAATCTCGAGTCAGGAGAGACCTATGTTAGGGCAATGTATGTCTTTGGTTAAGTGGGGTGAAGAATGGCTTTGCAAAACTTTCAAGCTCAAAAAGTTCAAGCTAAATTCTTGCAAGGAAGGAACAGCACTCACCAACCACTTGTGCTCTAGCCCAGAATCTCATCTTCTCTGTTTGAATTATCTCCTGGAGTTGATTAAAATCAAAAGGCAGTTAAATCCCCATCAAATACTGATTGAAGTATGTGTACATGAGGCTGCCATGGCTCACCATTACCACACAGCCTGCTCTGGTTGTGGACTTTCCCCTTCTCTTACTCCAGAGTACATGTTGAAAAAAGAAATGCAGTGGCCTGAAGTCTCAGACTGTGCAGTTTAAAGTTCTGATGGATCTGTTGTTAGCTGGTAAAGTTCTTTTTCCTTGACATGATGCGAGCTTATTTAGTCAGAGAGAAGTTATTGCAAGCGAAGTGGAAGTTGACTCAGCCCTACAGCTAGATATGACAGAACTAGAAGAGCCATCCTCAGTCAGGAGCTGGTAGATCAAATTCAGGCATGCCATAAATCACATTATAAAGGACACACAAGCACTTCTTGTAGCTTCTGTGCTATGGAGAGTGAGCTGGGTGGTAGCAGTAGCAGAACTTACCCTAGAGATGAAGACAGGATAAACTTAAGTGCAGAAACCTCCCAGTTAAGTTTTTACTCTAATCTTTCTTGCTACCTTAGGCTCCCAAGTTTGTTCCTCCATTTTTACACTGGCTGAGTGATCTGTTTCCAAACCCCCTCCTTCTTTCAGGTCACTTCTGAATTTAGCCCATTTTGCCAGGCTGCCAGGGTGTGATGCAGAGGAAGTTGGGCAGCCTCCTTAAAGGCTCACTCGCATTTCAGGGACACATGCCATTGCTGTGCGTGCAGAACATGCCGTTGTGCTTGGGAAGTGGAAAATTGTGAGTGCACATAAAAATCACTGGTAGACCTCTGCATCCCTTCTCAACTCCTCTACTCCAACATAACACTGCACACCTTCAGAGACATACTAATTAAAGATGAGGTTGGAGATGGGAGGATAGTAAGAGGAAACCAACATTCAAGTAGCGTTTCAGCCTGAAGGTACTACCTGTGAAAGTCTGAAGGCTGAGTCTTGGAAGAGCTGTGGGTCAGGCAGCAGCTATGCAGACTACTCTGCACAGGCCATCTGATGTCTCTGACTTTGCCTTGAGGCATCCTCTTCAAAGTCCAGGTAGGGTCCACATTTATTCAGCTTCCTTTTAGTTTACCCCATTATCAGGAGTGAAGGTTTGGTGATACGAACTCTTCCCTACACGAAACACACCATATAGAGGTTTCTGAATAGCTGTCAGGTAAGCAGGATGTGGCTTTGCACCTTGGCCCTGAATCAATGCAGCGTCTTGCTTTGCATTGAAATGTTACCTGCCTTGGGAAATGCAGTCCTTCAAATAGCATCCTCTTGTGCATGTGTGCACACAATGCACACAAAGTGAAAACTAACTCAGATGACCCAATCTCTGGTAGCAATCAGATAGAACCTATCTCCAAGCAGAGGAGCAGAACACAGTTCACACTGTGAACATGTCTAAAGATACAGGTACAAAAGCAACAGCTTCTAGAGCCCTGAGCCACCCTGTTGGTGGATTATGATTTCAACCACATAAATTGCAGAGCCAGTACCGATCCTGAAGTCACAAGCTGTAAACTCCTGCATGTGCCTGCAGGGGGGCACCCTAAGAATTTAGTTTCATATTGCCCCTGGCTAGTTTTTTTCTGTGCAGGCTGATGAAGCATACACCACATG